AAGAAAAACCTCGCCAAAAAAAAAAAAAAAAAAAAAAAAAAAAAGACAGTAGGAAGTGTCTTTAGGATTTACAGTGTTGTTCTTCCAACATACAACACGATGTCGCTTGCTATGAAGATATAGACACTTTAGAGCAATATATTTTCTCACCTAAGCTAACTCAATCAACAGGTATTGATTACACAACTCTGATAGGCTCCGGATTTTAGAGAAGAGAACACAGCCCCTGCCCCTATCAGAAGTGACTCTGGAACTCTGCCTGGGTAACCCCTGCCCTCAGACCCTCACCACCCCTGAAATCACCTGTTAACAATGTTATTGAGCCGGCTTGCTTGTGGGATGGTAGAGTCCTCCCCGCTAGCGCTGAGCTTGGTGGGGGACTGGAGGTCGAGGTTCTCAGGCTCCATGGGCGGCTGGCAGGCCGGCGGGGCAGTGTAGGCGCGCGGGGAAAGGCGGCCCAGCTCAGCCGGCTCAGGCCCCTCTGGTTTGGCATTCTGGTTGAGGCTATTGAGCACAATGAACTTGTACTTCTTCCAGTTGCAGGCTTTGGGGTCGGTCGGGCTCTTAGCCGGAGGGGAGCCAGAGGCCTGGAGGATGCAGGCATTCTTGCTGCTGCAGGACTCTGTGGGTGAGTTGGGCTGGCAGTCGGATTTCTGGGGGCTCTGGGGACTAACCAAGCCCTTCCGGTTCAGGGGTGCATTGGGGGGCTCGAAGTGCAGGGCAATCTCATCCTCTGAGGAGGGTCTCTCTTCTTCTTTGTTGGCCTTGTCACAGGGGAAGTATGGGGCATTCCGGGCCGAGGGGGCAGCAGGCTTGTGGCCCTCAGCCATACTGTAGTGCATGTCACTGCGTGCCTCTTCCGGGACCGCCTCCTTGGGTGAGTAGAGGCTGCTGTGGCACACACTGGGGGACACTTCCATGGCTGGCCGGCTGTACTCACCAGGGACTGGCCTGGCACTATCGCAGGGGAGGGCCCGCTCCTTAGGGAAGGGGTTGGCCACAGGCATCCGGGCATCACGGAGCTCCTCGTCAGAGAAGAGGAAGCTGCTGACTGGGAGGTGGCTGTACATGGGGTAAGAGGCTGGTGGTGTGGACAGGCCGCTGTACAGGCTCGGGGCAAAGGCTCTGCTCTCACACCCAGGGGCGTTCCTCAGTGCCAGGTTATTCTCCACCACCTCACGGCCCCGATAGGCCATGATGTCCTGGGGCATGAGCATCCGACTGTTCAGGAACTCTTCGCGGGGAGGCTTGATGGCAGGAACCATCTCCGCCTCACTGGGAGAAAACGAAAAGCCACCGAGTCAGTAAACACATGCCCTTCCAGAGACACTGTTACGTAACCTCTGAGCCTACGTCAGCTAGACAGGGCTGACGGGCCCTGGAGGAGGGAAACCCTGAATTACCAGGCATTGATGCAAGAAGTCTCAATCTAGCCCACTGAGGAAACAGACCAGAGGAGGAGAGTGCGTTACTTGCACCATCTGTCCCTGAGGAGCACGAGCCTGCATTTAAGGCACATATGTATGCAGGTAGGGAACCTACCATCCTCTGACACGGTGTGATTTCAGAGTTTAGACAAAGCTTTCGAAGCCCCTCTCTCATTTCACCCACGCTAAATGCTGCAAGGAAGAAAAGGCAGGTATTGCTGTGTCTGTCCCACATACACGGAAATGGGAAGAGTTTCCACAATGCTGGTATCATCCTTTCAGAGTCGGAGACAAACTAGTGCCCTAGTCGTAAAGAAAGGACATGCCTCAGACACTGACCAGGGCTGTGGGCAAGTTTGTGTTGGAGGCCGGGCTGCAAATGCCAGTGCCCTGGCTCTGGAGTGGCCAGACCTAGTTTGCAAAGCCAGCTGTGCCACTTAGCAGCTATGTGACCTGAAGCAGGTTACTTATCCATTAGAGCACAAGCCCTGACCCATAGAAAGTGCTCATAAATGACAGCAAGGACGATCTTGCCACCATTATCACCCACCGGAGACAAAGAGCTCTAGCTGCATCTACTTGAAGGGACATTATGTGGGCGAAAAAAAAAATAGGCCAGCTCCACATGATCACAGTTAACAGAGCTAGGACCAATGAGTGAAGATTAAAGGAGCCCGATTTCAACTAGCCATACAGGGAAGCTTTCTAACTGAGGGAGCCTATGTGGCTCTGGGAACACTGAGTTCCTGGCCCCTGGAGGTGTTCAGACACCGGCTGGAAAACCCTTCTGTTTGAGTAAGGATGCAATCAGCCTAGAGACGCTGGATCAAAAGGCTCTAAGGAAGTTAAGCCCTGAGTCTGTTCCATTTAGCAAAGACCTTACTTCTTTGGATCTCGGGTTCCTCGTCTTTAAATAACAGTCATGCCCTTCCAGCCCACCAGTAGAGGGTTCGACCCAGTGAACCCAATTCAGTTCAACACACATCCTTCCTAGGAGGCGGAGGGCAACATAAAAGAGGAGTAGGACAGCCCCTGCAGCCTCAAGTTGCCCAGAGTCTGGGCTAGGAGCTCCAGTACATATGTAAAGAGCTATAAAGGAAGTATAAAGACAAACTAAAATACATATACAAATATTAAAATAGAAGGGCGTTCTAAAGGACAGGCAAAGTCCTTCAAAACACAGAGGAAGACTGAGGCAAGCAGCGTGGTCGAGCTGGAATCCAGGCTTGGCCTTCCAGGGTGGGTGGATGGGAGAACAGAGGTAGCAATGCACAGCACGTGGTTGGAGAGCAGCAAGGAGTGAAGTGCACCTGTTCTGCGCGAGGTAAGAAGGGCAGGAGCGTCAACGACAGTGGACAAGTAGGCTCCGGCATGTCACAGAGGACTCTTTTCTACACGCATGAATTAGCAAGAGTTTCTGAGTGGGGAGCACCCCTTCCACGTCCTAGGCTCCCACCGAGGTGGCAGCTCACCTGGCCTTGATGAACTTCCGGCAGGTATCCACGACATGCTCCATCTGCAGGTACATGGCTGTGGCCATCACGGCCATGATGTTGCCTTCCCGCAGATTGAGCCGCGATGTGTACATGAAGTCCAGGAGGATGCAGAACCCCTCCGGGTTGATCTCAGGGTCAAGGTTGATGACACTGAGGTTGCATTTCAACTGGTCCGTGAAGATGCTGTAGAACAGACCGCTGTAAAACAAGCAAACGCCCCACTGTAGTAGACTGGTAGACTCTGCAGTTGCTTAGTCAGTGCTGATGCTCAGTCCCTCTCCCATGGGCCTTGCTACAGAACTTCCAGGGCACCTAATAATAGCTGCCATTTATGGAACATTTTCCAAATGTCAGAGGCTCCTTAAGCACTTGATATAAATTGTTTTTTTGTTACTCACAACCTCGCACGGAGGTACTATATTCTCTACGTTCACAAATGGCGGAACCACAATCAGAGAGGCTAAGTGATAGTCTCAAGGTCATGGAACCTGTTTTCCTTTTAGTCTTAACCACATGGATTATCACAGTTAAATTTAGTACTCATTTGCTGTAACTATTCTTAGTCTATATCTTTGGGATAAGTTGTTCCATTGCATTATTCTCATTTTTAAAGTTCTATTGTATTGTTTAGAAGTAGGATGTGCTAACAAATAAATAAAACTATGCCTTCATCTATACGTGACTGTTTTTCTCAAAATCCATAGATTATTAGAAGGTCAGTTATTCCCCGATGAAGCCTCACGCCTCCAGGTACCATGTTGTCTGGTGGAGGGGAGAGTTCTCAGTTAGAAAGCAGACTTCTGGACTGTCACCTCGATTCTACTCCTTCTCAGTGAGTTGCCGAAGGCAAGCCACTTTTCCTCCAGGAAGTAGCTGTCCAACGTTGGCTAAGACACTTAACTTCTCTGCACCTTGCTTTCCTTATCTGCAAAGTAGGGGGAACCACAGTGTCTGCGTCATAGGGTTGGGTCAAGAATAAAAGTATAGGGGCAGGCAGGTGGTGTGGTGGTGGCTGACCACAGTTCGAGTCCTGGACCTGCTAGCTCGCTTTCTCACTTTCTCTCCCTCTCTCTCTGTTTCTCTCTGGCCAAATGAAAATAAATGAATACATAAATAAAGTTAAATAAATAATGATTTAAAAAAACATTAAAAGTATAAAAAAATATATAGAATGATGCCTGGCACATAGCAAGTACTCTTTAAACATGATCTACTATTCTTTAATATCTCTATAAACCTCTGTTCTCTCCACTATTAAAGACAGGTACTTACAGTAGATGTTCGATAAGACCTGTAACAGCAGTAAAGATCCCTGATTCTACATCGTTTCACCTACCCGTGCCTTCTTTTTATCATCTATGAAACAGAGGAGAGCGGAGTACTCTCTAAAATGCAGAGGGCGTCTGTGGCAATCCAGAGAGATGACGTAATACAAAATCGCTCTGAACGCTTGAAATACTGAGGAAGTAGCTAGCTCACTTTCTTACACAGACTCTGAACACCCATGGAAACAGTTACAGTAGGCAATACATACAGTTACAGCATAAAGGAGCAAAAGATTTCAAGCTAACAAACTCAAACTACTTAAAGACGCTTTTTCAGTTTTTTTCTGCTTAACTAACGTTATTTTCCTCATTTGCCTCAAACACATCCTTTCTTGTGGCAGTGCATGATTTCTGCACCCACTATGTGCACAGAACAGATATCCTTTCTTTTCTAAAAGCACGTTCATTCATTTGCTTCCTGGGAGCCTGCTCTGCCAGGCCGTGTGCTGGGATCTGGAGGCCAGGGAGACACAGCGAAGGCCTGTGTGTTCTGCCTCGCCGGCTGCCAACACCACACCACTCCCCCTGCAGGCTCCCCCGCTTCGCTTCCAGACCCCTCACCTGCAGGCCATGAGTACTGTCTTATGGGCTCTGAACTGCTCCCGGCTCACCACAATGACAACATCAGTCAAGATGTCACGGCTCCGGAGGCGGTTAAGGTTCAGGAGAACATCACTAGCGTGGCGGGTGAACTGGATACAGCTGTCAGCCGGCGAGGCCATATTGTCTTCACCTGAAAAACAAAGAGCCGAAACCCTGCTAGTCCTCCAGAACCTGTTTCCTGCTCACCGGGGCTACCAGGGCAGGTGGCCCAGCCTGTCAGAGCACGGAATGCACACGCAGGTCTCAAACTCAGGTGTTCGGTCTCTGAACACCGATTGACAGCCAGCTCTGGGCATTACCCTTCATAGGTATAAAATGGGTTAGAAGTTGGGATAGAAAGTCCTTTAGTGGGGGGGAAGGGAATGGATCTCGGGGGGGTTAGAAGTTGGGATAGAAAGTCCTTTAGGGGCAGGGGGAAGGGAATGGCTCTCGGGTGAGTATTTTTCCCACATACCAAATACTCTGCCGACCATTGCGAGGCTAAGTATGTCGCAATGGAGAGAAACCACGTTTTGAAGGTTATCAGGCTAGCTTTGCCTTTCACTGATGTAGAGCTGGTCATTTGCTGTTTCTAGGCTTTGGTTTTCCAAACTAGTAGTAATACCTATGCGGTCATCAAAGTGAGAGACCTGTGTCTCGTCCATAGCAGCTTCTTAAACAGCACAGCTATTCTCATCGGTAACTCACTCCATGACCCCAGCCATCACCATCTCTCTGCTATTAGTAGGCTAGAGACTTGCTTGACAGTACACGTGGCTGGTGCATAGTAGGTGGATAAATTCACCTGAAGTAAGACGAGAGTAAAAGAATGGCAGCTACGCAGTAGCGTTAAGAAAATCTATGGGACCAGCAGTTAGTGTAATGGCTATGTCGCTGGACTCCCACGTAGTCGACC